CCACCCACGAAAAACGTGTCATCCATGTCGGTAAAGGTGTCCTCAGTGTCCACATAGTCCAAGCTGATGTCATGCCAAGGAATGTTGAGGCGTGCCATCATCATGAACTTCAGGCAGACCAACACCTCATTGTCGTCCTTCATCTTGTAGACCTCGTTGTCTACCATCACCACGAGGGACATGTCCGGCTCTTCGCCCTGGCCGTCGCTGGAACTGTCTCCATCGGAAGGTTCATCATCCCCGTCCCCACCATTGGGGGAAACTCTCGTCGGGAGATGGTGGCGTGGGGTGCTACAAGTGGGCAAACCCTCGTCATCAACATCAGGCGTAAGACGCAGGGCACGACGGACGGGACAGCTTCCTCTTCTACCACGACAGGTACAACATCAGCAGGAACAAACACGGTTGCCAAGGCGAAAGCCAAGTCCAAGGCGGCAGGGGCGAAGACCAAGTCCAAGGCGAAGGCAAAGGCAAAGGCATCGTCATCAGCGAGTGGGGCATCCTCATCCACACAGTGAGCATCAAGTCACTGAGCGGTGTCAAGTTTTGTCGGTTTGCACTTGATGGAGAGAGCATACCAATGGAGTTTGCAATCCCTTTGCCATTTGGATAGTTCTTCTGTCAGTTGTAGACCATCGCATACCCACGAGCAAAGTGCCACAGAGAAAAACCATTCTCAGACTTGCCTTTGACATGACTTGAGTCGTGAGATTGACTACTCCTTACAACTGTTGTTCTTGACCATTTGATGTTTGAATGCATCCATCCATGAGCCATTTTGCTGACAAGTCCTTCTGATGGCGTTGTCCCGCCCGTTGCTCGTTCGACCGAATGCTCCTCGGGGCGACGCTCATTGGACTAGAAAGATGAAGAAGGATAATGAATTGCTTCTGTCCTTCATCAAGATGAATGACCTCTTGCCTGCCTGTGAGTTGTTCCGTCAATCCCAAGGGGAGAAGGACGCTGTCAAGACTTCTTCCAGTGGTGCTCTTTCACCAAAAGAAGACGTGGTCGCCAAGGATGACAAGTCTTAGAAAGTCTCACCCATGTGCCCGAGGTTCTCCTTGCCTACCACATAGAACTCAAGTTTCTTCTTCAAGTCGGAGTCGTTGCTGAACAAAGCCGGGTTGAGAAGGCGGAGACGCTCTCGCAAAGCCTTGAAGGTGTGCTTACCCATCAGGTTCAGGTGGATGACGTGCTCACCAAAGCGAACCTCAATGTTGTAGGTGTTACTACGGTTGATGGACTTGATGGACTCGCCCTTCGGTGCGTGGCTCTTGCGATGGTCTCGGTAAATCTTCTCCAACCTTGCCTTCGCAGACTTCACCAACTTCTCCTTCTTGGACTCCAGCGCGAGGATGTCCTTGATGTTCTGAAGGACGGTGTCCATTTGGGCGGGAGTGGTCAGCAAGGTCTGAACGAGGTCGTTTGCCATGTCCCCGAAACCCTGCTTGTTGGCGATTTCCTGAACCATCTCAGGTGTGAGAAAGAGCGCTTCCTCATCAGCGGTCTCCTCTTCTTCTTCTCCCTGCTCATCCTCATTCATAGTGTCATCGCTTTTCTCACTCTCCGCCGCTTCGTTCTCATCAGTCTGAAGCATCTCTGCAATGGTCTCATCCACAGTGGTCTGCTCATCGGTTGCGTTGCCGTGGGCAGGTTGCTCCATGTCCGAATTGACATAACCACCCATCTGTCTGACCAAGTCAGTCAGGAGCATCTTCTTCGGTGCCATGGCTGAGTATGGTTCAGGCAAAGGCACTGGTCAAACTGTCTGACTAAAATGACTATCAATAAATCAAACACATTTCGGAAGACTGCTTAAGCGAGTTGTCAATTGCAAACCGACCAAGCAACGAAAGCAATCGCTCCAAATCTGAGTGTCCCGACATAAAGCTGATGATGACATAGAAGTCGTAGCAGGTGTGGCAACGACCGAATAAAGGTCGACCTACTCCTACCCAATCTCTCGTCATGAAAACAAATACACCACCAACACCCCAGAACTTGATAACTACTAAAAGGGCCAACCCTTTCAAATGAATCAATGTCGGCCCCCAGCCCAACAATGAACAAGGCGACGATTTACCCAAATGATTACCTTAACGAAAACGATATATAAGCTCCCTAAAAACCCTCTTTTAACAACGAATAAGGTGGTTAATAGGTTTGAGATGAATATAAAAAACATAACAGGGGACCATCAACAGACCACCCCCCAGGCCCCCTACTTTTACCATTTTCCCCCCCCCCCCCATGTTTTGCCGACCATTGGCCTTTAGGCAATCAACGGTATCACTCACACATATTTGAAGCTCTTTTTCTGTCAATAGACGTATGACGCGCTTTCATTCAATTGACCAGGCTCATCAGATTCTCACTGAAAAACAGATCCAGGGCATAGAGGCTGCTGTGTGCTACAGTGGGTGTCTCCTTGTTAGGGATCAGGTGCCCCCAGCACGGAACGCAATTGTGGCAGGTAGCAGCTTTTGTCAGCAAGAATCACCACCATGTCCACGGAAGCTTACACAGTGCTGGCCACCCTATCAGCAGCACTGAGGAGACACTAAATCTATCGATGACCGCCAACTCATGAGGACTTGTTAATGACCGGACCTCAGCTCTTCTATCACCATGGAAGTTGAACGTCAGAAGGCAGCTGCAAAGGTGGGTCGGATATCCACAGTGGCTTCGTTCTAGTCCAGGGCAGGGAGGGCATCAAAGACAGCTTGATTGAGCGAATGCGCACTTCAGGCGTGTTGCAGAATTCTAGCGTCCGGTCGCCTCATCTTGACTTCAACCACGCATCCACACAGTTCAACCATGCAGAATCCCATGGTCGGTGGATGTTGGGTGGCCATGATTCACACAACACTCAGCTCCGCTGTTCCAAGCTTATCAGGGCTGTGGCACTTATCAAGTTGCAGCTGCCCGGCGCGCAACAGCCGGCAGGGTGGCAGTGAAATGCCCCACAACAGACTGATCCCGGGATGGCCGCCTCCTCAGCTAAAAAAAGCGCTGGTGTTTTGCAAGCGTCATCGTAAAGTCAGCGCCTTGCGCTGGGCGGGCCCACACCGAAGCTGCGGGCTTGTGCTTCTTGGCGCTGGGCCCTGGCTACCCTTGTTTGGGGTTGCCATCTTCGCCCACGGCTTCTGTTTTACCATCGCTCAAGCTGAAGCCGTGGACCTGTCACGGTCTGAAATTTGGGGGTCTAGGCCACAACCCAAATCCTCTACCATTATAGCTAAAGCTGAAGCAGTGGACCTGCCTCTGCTTAAATGTCGTGGCCATCAGAACCAGCACCCGTTCTCGTCTAGGCGCTGCTCCCAGGTTGCTGTTGCTGCTGCGGCTTCGTTCCTGCTGGGAGGCTTGTTCTGCTGACGGTCTGCTCTTGGGCTCTTTGGGATTTTGAAAAACATGGCAGGGCTTTGAGCAAAGTGCTGCGATGCTGTGCTATCTCGCGGCGCGCCAACTCAGGTCAAAGTAACCGCGCTTAAAACTAGACTTAAAAGATGTCAGTGGAGTGGAGCTGTAAGTCAGCTCTTCAGTAACGCGTTGCTAAGAATAACTGACTGTGAGCGGACAGAACCGAACCTGCCTGTGGCGCGCTGCTTACTGTGCACTTAGTCCATTACTGCGTGAGGCTGGATTAGATCTTCCACAAAAAGGTACGAGCTGTTGTTTCTGCTCACGCTCCATCGGGGCTTCCTTGGCTGGAATGGTGTCCTATGGCGAGGTTGGTGTTGGATGAGGTCCTGGGAGGGCGCATGGTGCTTTGTGGCACTGAGTGCAGGTGGTGGGTTGAAAATTCGGGCATGCCGGTCACAACCTTGCTTTCTTTCACTTCGGAATCTGATCCAGGTTTTCTTGTCTGCTTCCTCCATCTCTTCGCGCTGCGCAGATTGCAGGGCAGTGGTCCGTTCGGTCGGTTCTTGGCCGGAACCGCTCCCGCATGGCTGCTGTGAACTTGAGCCATTTGTAGTCGAGCCGTTCCAGCACATCTGTGAATTTCATTACTTGGGCCTTCGCCTGTGTCGATTTTGGAGCTCGGAGAACTGGTGGTAGGATAATTTTCGAACCTATTTGCATGGCTGACATATGGGCCTGGAACAACTTCGGCTGCTGGCACTGGTTTGCCACCCTTGTTGGCAGTGCAGGAAATACCGGGCCTGCATCGCTGGTAGGGGCAGCTTCGGCTTGGGCGTGGATTTCCTTGTTGCCACTGTTGTCCTTGCTGTTGCCTTTGCCTTGCAGCATGCTATGCATTGACCACCCAGCAAAACATTGCCATTTTGACATCTCAGGGTTCCAGGAGTGGTGCGATTGCAGAACATGTTGGGCTGAAGCAAATCGCAAGGGTTGATGGCACATGTACCCGTGCTTGATTGGCCTAAGCAAGTGCTTAGCCTTGAAGCGTGTCCTCCGCAGTCGTCGGTGCCAAGCAGGTTCAGCGCATGGAAGGGCCGTGGCAGGTCAGCGAGTGAAAGTCGGCTGCGCGAGGGTAATGGCTGGGCAAACCCACCACCACTTAACCATAAACCCACCCTAAGCCCGCCCTAAAACCCAGCTCCCACACCAACGCTTCCCTGAACTCTATACTCACTCTTGAAACCACAAAAGGGCGGTCAACACATACGATGCGAACTCCAGATCCCGCGTGCCTGACAAATGTAGGAAAGTGTTTTTGCAATCCCAGGATATTAGCCCGGATCCAACATGTCTCAACACGCGTTCAACGTCCAACGCGTTCGAGTTTTTCCTTGAACTGTGGGATTGCCTTTGGGCCAGGTGTTGTTGGTCCAGCGTTCCTCCTGAGGAAAACTTAAACCTTCGCATTGTCGCAGCAATTCTTAGATCCACGCAGAAGCCACAGTTATGGTTCCATCCAGAAGTCAGATGTGCACCCATGGATGCATGCCTCCAAATTTGCCATGCCGGGCAAGCGTGTTCCAGTAGATGACCTATGTTGAGGTAGAACGTCAGCGCTCGGCGCTTGCATGCAGGACTGTCCAGGCTGCTCCCATCATTTCTCCTGGTCATCGCTGGAGCGAGGGCCTTGCGCTTGACAGGTTGCGGTATTTCATGCGGGTGTGTTTCAAGACTGGGGGGCCCCGGAAAAAAGTTTCCAGTGTTTTCATTTTTCAACAAACCTGAAAGTGGTAACTCCCTAGCGTAGAAACCTCGACCTTGCTCCTGCGCAGATGGCTGAGAGTTCACAAGGCGCCCACTTGTCGTGAAATTTCCTTTCTGTGTTTCACACTGGGAAAGGGAATCAGACGTACTGAAGTACCTTGGATCACATGTTTGCCCACACGTGCGCATCTTGCTGTGCCGCCGCATCGCCAAGATTTCGGGGGCCGAGTGCCCCTTGTGACATGACTGGACCTTCTACGCGCCAGGCTCTCCAACACCAGCCTTTGTGAGTGGTGCGTTCTGCACCAAGTGGCCTCTGGCAAGCAACCTTTTTCGGAAAGCGCCGGCCAACTTTTGGGTCCGACACCCTGAAGCAAGCGCGCTCCAGGACATGCGTGAGCTAGCGGCGCCTTTCGTGCCACGCGTGCGGCGCCAGAGCCTCAGGCGCGAGCGTTCTGTTGTGGCGAAGGGCTTTTATGTGGAGGGAGCAAGCAGCCTTGTCGCAAAACCAAAGCCACACGTGATGCGCGTGTGTGCTGTTTGGGTGTGCGTCCGTGTGTCTCTGTGGTTGTGTTTGCGTGCGCGTGCGTGCGCCTGCGTGCGCGTGTGCGTGCTTGCGCGTTTGCGTGTGGCTTCTTGCGCGTGCGCATGTGCATGGCGTGTGTGAGTGCGTGCTCGTGTGCGTGTTTGTGTGTCTGTGTGGATTTTGTTTTCCGTGGTTTCTTGCGCGTTGGGATGATGCGGGGTTATTTTGCGACCTGGCTTTCGCATGTGAATTCACTTCGGGCAAGCCTCGATCTTTAAGTGGCCATACGCGGAAGCCCCCTGCGAGGGGAAGACCTTCAGGTTCAAGTTCAAAGTGGTCAGCTCATCCGAAGCCATCTTGAGCTGGTGCCCGCACGCGCGAGGGCTGTCAGCCCACAACGCCTGACTGAGAGTTCAAGATTTACTGAATCCACTGTGTCGGACAAGTTCGAGGCCCTGCAACAAGATCTGAAGCAGGCCATAAAGCTGCTGACGTAGGGAAAGAACCCAAAGGGGCAAAGTTCAATTAACTCAGGCCAGTTCAACCCCTGACTGCATATGAACTTTGGCATCTGGCCTCCTGCTGCCGTCGGTGACTCGTTAGGTCGCCAAAAGCGCGATCAGAAGCAGCATCGCCGCCGCCGCCGATCTCCCTCGACCACGATCAGAGACATGACCGCCGGCAACACTCCCGATCGTCACCGCAGGCGCAAGGATCTCGCCAAACGGTCAAAGATGATGGCTCCGAGCTGTCTCTTCCCAATGGTGAAGCTGCGGGGAAAGAGGGCCAAGGCTGTCGGGGTTCCGCCTCTCGTCGCCAAAGGATTGGTAATGACCAAGAATGCGCCTGGAATAATAAAGACAACCCCAAAAATAGTACTTGCGCTTGGAACAAATTGAAAAACAGTGGCCCAAAAAAGGCGGGAGAGACGAAGGAGAGATAGGAGAAGAGAGGTAGCCAAGCCAAGACCTGGCTCTTGGACTTTTTGCACCGCTTTTTTTCAGCTCCCCCACATCCAAGAATTCCAGCTTGCCCAGATTTCCCAAACTCATGTTTTGTTACATGTCTCTTGTTTAAAAACTGTCCGCAATCAAAACCGCAAAGGGGGCCTCCCGGTTGGAATTATTTCAGGGGCCCCTAGAACACAGTCTTCTGGCCCCGAAAGAAAATAACATCTTCTTAGCTAGTTAAGTACCTAGACAGCCCTGGCGATGCTTAAGGTTTTTTGTTAGATTTGGGCCAGCTCCTGGAATCCAAAACGGTCACCTTTCCGAGCCCATTTTTCTTTTATGTGTCTCGTTTAAAACTTCAAGTTCCCTTGAAATAAGGTCTTGTTGCCTGCCCCCCTCCCCCCAAAAATCAAATATCACAAGGAAGCTCCAGCAATACTAAATCAAACGGAGATCTAGATCCCAATCTGAATGGAAACTCAATGGAAGCCAAATTGAATTGCATCTTTTTTCAGGTGTCCCATTGTTGGGGGCCGGGGAAGCTTCCAAGCCAACTCACAGCACGACGACTTGACCAGCTTCTAAGTCAACGGAGCTGCCCAAGACTCCAGCGAGCGGCCGTGGCAGTGGCCAAAACCATGTCCCTCTCAAACGCATGCCGGCCAACGCCTTCTCTGATCCAAAGTTTCGCCAGAAGCAACGGCGCGGGGAGAAGGAAGACCTGGGCGCAGTGTCGACATGCTCCTCATCGAAGGCGGGGTCTCCACGAAAGCAGGACCCGCTCCGGATCGCTGACAGCCGGCGCAGAAGCTCCAGTCATGGAGGCCAGTGAGGGGCCGAGTGTCACGAGCCACACCAAGGTTGGTGCAAACCAAGCGGGAGGTGTAGGCCTGCGCCGGCTCGCCGAGCGTGAAAAAAGTGTTGCTTGGTATTTGTTTGTCGGCTTTGCCTCTTCTTTGCTTCCTTGATTTGGATTGTTCAGCAAGCTTGGTTTCCTGGTCCTCGGCCCTGTGTCCAACGCCAGTTACCAAGTCAGCAATCCTGGCAGACGACGAAGCCGGGTTGCTCTATTACTACATGGACAATCACCTTCGACAGCCACACCTGGCCAATACGGCTTCAAGGCTCAGCCTCCAGCCCCACACCCTTTCCCGTCACACTTCCGGCTCAAACAAGATCGCTGGGTGTGACCTTCCCAGGTGCGTCACTCGCACTCGATATGCGACGTCCGGCAAGTTGCCCCTTGTCCTTTTCATGCGCAAGCAGTGACTGCGACATGTGGCCCATGGCGGCGAAATTCGGATGGTGGCGGAGTCCGTCTTCTCTCCCAAGTCCGACAACGCCACATCGATCTTGATAGGATTGCGTTGCATGTGGCCTTCCGAGCAGTGGCCATGAAGACCTGAACCGCTAAGCTCCTCAACTACCTTCTCAGTCTTGTGCCCGCCACAGGTCCAGCTTCATGTTTGAGCAACTCCAGGAAATGCGCCGACAACAATACCCCCCTCCTCAACAACCATTTAACCACTTTTCATGGGGTCATTCTGCTCAGGACCACGAAAAGCCGCTTTTCACGGCCATTGCCTTTTTTCACGGCCACTGCTTTTTCACGGCCATTTCGCGCTGCTGCGATTTCACGGCCATAGCCATTCTTCACGCCCATTTGCTCAAACGGCCAGCGACCCCAAGAAATATGGCGCGCGCTCGTCCTTGCTGGGCGGCTGGACCACTGAGCGTGCCAAGTGGGACACCCCACGCAACAGTGCCCTCCATCGCCAAGCTGGGTGCATCAGCCATCCTCCATGTCTGTCGCCCACCCCAGCTCGTTGATGTTTCTCTTCGCTCACACACTTACAGGCCAAGTCACTCCATTTTCTGTTGTGGCTGAGAGGAAGCATGATCCTCAGCGTGACGACTTGCTGGCATTGATGCGGTGGAAAGAAAGACTTGTTGGTAGAGCCAGAAAGGAGGTCGAGCTGGAATAAGGGCCGGTCGTGTGAGGCGCGGAGAATGTGGCTGTTAAGAGGCGCGGAAGGGTTGACATGTGCAACGCACGTGTCCTGTGCTCCAGAGGCTGGTATTTGTTTGTTGTGAGCGGAACACCACGCACAGTCGTGCGACATGAAAAGGAAGTCCGGCGTACGTAGAAAGCTGAAAGATCAAAATGGCGGACGGGCGAGAAAAGGAGTCATCAGGGGTCGGGAGGAGCCTGGTGGTCAATCCGCGAAAGCGGAAGGTCTCCGGAGACGCAGCTCCGTCTAGGGAGCTCAGGCAAGTGGACAGCAAGGAACCGGATTGCGTCGAAACGTCGGAGAGGGTTTGCCAAGATCACCCAGAAGTTTTCCAGTGTCAAGACGGGTAGTCAAGCGTCTTGTGGTGAAAGCACGTCGAAGTGCAACTGGCGGCGAAAAGGTCCTGTGGCACACGTTGGTGCAGACTTCGGTTGCGCTGAAAAGCTGGAAGAAGTTGTCGTGGTGCTCCCACCATCGAACGGCGTGTGCAGTGGTCCCACGCTTGGATGGTAGTGCGGGTGGCGCCAACACAGAGACACTCCAGCCACCTGGGCTGACAAAGGTATTCATAATCTCCTCCCAAGGATGTACAAGCGAAAACCCGTGTCTCTTTCAGCTTCCCGTCATCCATAAGTGGTCTGAGGCCCTGGCAGACCCGCGCAATTGCACTAGTAGGCCTACATCCTTCCTCAGAGGCAAAAGCAGTGGGCCGCTTCCAAGCCAATTGTCGGAGCATTCGTCCGGGCGCACACACACACAGCTTCTCGACACCATAATCCCCCTTGCCTGCCCGGAGCTCGCGGAGGTCTGTTTGACCTGACGCAACAACTTTGGCAATGTGTTCTGCAAGGCCACGCCATCTCTCCAGCTTTTTCACCTCCAACAATAAGGGCAGGTTCTATTGGCCTGGCAGCTACTCTCCCAGTGGTTTGGCCTTCACTGCGCAGTGGCCCTTGCCCAAACCGACACCACTGTTCGGCTCTTTAACGCGGACCTTGCCCAAACAAACACCACCATCCGGGATTCACTGGCCGCAGAAAACGGCGAACCTCTTTTCAACGCTCCGTCTGGCATGACGACATCTCGGGCGCGCGTGTCTTCAGTGTGGGCTTCCGAGCCTTTCCTCAACTTGCGCCGGAGCAGATGTGGGCAGACACCCACCCATCGGCAGGTCCGAGCATTCACAATAATGTGGCCTGAGCTCAGCAACGCTGCCGCTGAAGTCCTTTGAGACGAAGGCTTCAGGCGAGGCGAGCTCTGACACGTCGGATTTCCTTTCCTCAACCCCACTAGTGAATGAGCGCAGACTCGTCAAAGGCATCACAGACAGGGCCTTCCCAATTTGGAAAAAGCCCCTCCCAATGCGCCACGTGTATGCGTGCTTTCTTTTTTCTTGAGTTGATCGCTTGCTCAGATGGTTCTTAGCTTTGATTACTCGCCAAAAGATCGGCTATCGCTCAGCGTTTGGTTAACAACTTGGCCACCGTCATTGACATTGCCAACGACGCGAGATCCTGAGTCCTCACAACGACACGAACTCCTACATGAACCGCCGGCCGAGATGGAGGAGACCCTCACAGCCCGGCGCTGGAATTTGGAATTGGCCTTCACAGGCGCCCTCGCGCTGCGTTCCAGACCACTACTTGAGCCATGCGATCCTATTGAGCCTTCGGAGTGCTGCGAGAATCCCCGGATTTCCTGACCATTGGAGTCACGTTAAAGCCCTTCTGAAAAAGCGCCGTGGATCCACAGTCAAAGGCCTGCGTGCTGTATATATATATATATATACATATATATATTGGGTTTGTTTTTTTGCTGTGTCAAGTTGCAAAGGTGGGGCCTCCCCGAATCATACCCTTGAATCATACCCCTTAAAAATACTTTTCTTTACCATTTGTGTTGTTTACTGCCTCCAGACAACCAGCACCAGCGCGACCTACTACGAGCACTGCCACTACTACTACTACTACTACTACTACTACTACTACTACTACTACTACTACTACTACTACTACTACCATTCTACTATTCATCTACTACTACTACTTCTG